ACACAGAAGAGAGCTCGCTAAAGATAGACCAGCGGAGGAAATGTCGCAGATTGTCCGAGTCTGACGTGTGCTGGCCAGGTGTTTACACATACAGTATGTACCAATTTCCATCCCTCCATTTCCTTTACCGTTTTTCGGTCACGGGGGGCTGAAGCCGATCCCAGCTGTCATTGGGCGAGAGGCGGGGTTACACCCTGGACTGTACTGCAGCCAATCACAGAGCTGACATATAGAGACGGACAACCTCACACTATGGACAATAGAGTCAGCAGTTAACCTAACAAGCATGTCTTTGGACTGTGGGAGGAAGCTTGAGTACCCGGAGAGAACCCACACATGCACGAGGAGAACATGCAAACTCCACACAGAGAGGCTCCTGTCAGACGGGGATTCAAACCAGGAACCTCCTCACTGTGAGGCGCTAACCACTGTACCACCGTGCCCTGTCAAATACTTTTTAATAAGCTTGTACTAGAGTCATAAAAACAGGAGAGAAAACAGATCTAATTCAGACTCTCAAAATGGATCACCTGATGTATTTATTTCACTTGTCCCTTAAGGGCTTCCCTAGCTGTGTCTCTGTTTGTTGTAAATCACTGAGCTGGTGTCTTCTTGACCTTAATTCAGTCAGCAGGGATTTCACAACGAAAACATTTCCCTCTCAGAGTCTCAGTTACAGAGAAATCAGTGTGTAGTGTGTGTTAAAGTGTGTAATAGTGTGTTAAAGTGTGACATCATGAGGTCCATCATGTGTTTCAGAGTCACTGAAAATGCAAAGTTGATCAAAATCACAAATTTGAACACAGTACGTTACTTTCCACCAATCAGCTGATTATTTTGCATGATGAGTGAGTGAGTGTGTGTGTGTGTGTGTGTGTATGTGTGGTTTAGGATGACACTCTGGTTTGACATTTGATGTTTTTATTCTGTCTGTGTCTGTCTCTCTCTCACACACACACACACACACACACACACACACACACACACACACACACACACACACACATACACACTGTAACAGGAGTGTAAACAGTGTCAGTGTTGAACAAACTGGGGTCAGTCAGGCGTGTGAGTGATGTTCCTCAGCTGAAGGCTAGCCTTCACTAAAAATACGTTCTGTAATTTAGCCGAGCGCTGCCTGAGACTCCTGACGGCTTCACGTCTAATTTAAGAGCTCATCTGAGAGGTTTGAGATTGCATCCCAACTCTCTCTCTCCCTCTGTCTCTCTCTTTCTCCCTCTCTCTCTCTCTCTCTCCGGTCCTCAGTCTGCACGTCCACGCTGTGATTGACGCCAAGCAGAGACAGGGAAATGTGTGTGTGTGTGTGTGTGTGTGCGTGCTCGTACGTGTGCACTTTACGATCAGGAGGATAGTATCTGGAAACTGGAGAGGAGACGTGGGAGTGAGGAGCGACCGTCTTTGTTTGCTTTTCCTTATATAGAACAGACTGCACACACATACCGGTGTAATAACATACTATTGAACCGGTTTATTTTCATTCATGTTCAATCATTGTCTTTACAACACAAACACCATTGTGTCTGTTAAGAATAGACATAAAACAAACCGTACTTTAATGCAATAGATGCTGACTTGCAAAGCACTGCAGACCATACTGTGTGTGTGTGTGTGTGTGTGTGTGTGTGTGTGTGTGTGTGTGTGTGTGTGTGTCTTAATATGTTACAGCCTCCACCTTTAAATGAGCTCCATGCAGAAATAGACAGCAGATATTAAATGTCACACGCGGGGGAAATAAGGTCAGCAGCTCTCTAATGAACTCCTGAGCAGAACTCACCTGCACTATGGCGTCCTGATAAACCAGAAACACTGTGAGAACACGACGTGTGCCCTTCACAAAATGTCCTTTAAAATAGTTTACATGTTTTATAATATAGTAGTAGGAATGTTTCTGGGGAAGCTTCAACATAAAGATGTCATTAGACACTCGTTATTAAGAACCACAAATTCACTACAAGAGCATAAAAATATTTTATTAACACACATACAACATTTAAAAGTTGACTTTCAAGGTCATAAACTTTATAAACATGCAGGTTTAAAGATCTCCCTAAACTTAGGCTCTGTTTGTAAGGTGAGGTGTGATTTGAGCAGGGATGGCGCCAGGATTTTTTTCACCCAGTGCTGAGGAGGAGCTTGACTAATATGTTGGGGTGCTATGAATAGTTGATTTTTCATGAATTCATAGTTACTTTTTAAGTTCTCTCTTTTCTTCAAATAAAAGTAGACATTCGTGAGGGGGTCTTAACCGGGGAAAAACAGATTTGTGATGGGGCTATAGCACCCCCTAGCCCCGGTGTAATGCTGTGCTTGGATTTGAGTCCACTTCATGATTTTTGCTCGTGATGATGTAAGATTTATTTTTTATTTTTAAGAATTCACTCTTAAAACATGCGCCCAGGTTTTAGAGCCTGAAGGCTCATAGAAAAGAAACAAATCTGTGCAACAGATAAATAAGTTAATATTATGATCCAAAGCTATTTATGGAAGCCCAAAGCAGACATGCATCCATATTTTATTCACTCAGTGGCCAATGGCAGCATGGTGAATGGCAGCAAATGATCCTGTTAGGGTCTGTGTTTGTTCATGCTGGTACTTTTTGGCACTGCAGTGCTCGCGACCTCAGTTTCAGAGAGCTTCTCACCGGCACTTATTGTTGCTAGGTTATATAAGTTACCTAGCAACAATACAGTTTACAGTAGTGACAGTTATGTCTGTCTAAACAAATTCTGTATGCCTAATATTTGCTTTTAATCAAGAATAATTCACCCTTGAAAACTTAACAACAATGTAAAGGACAAAACAGCAGCTCATGGAAATTGTATCCTGGAAAAGAGACGAGTCTGAATAGTTGAAATTGTTGAAAATATTTTAATTTTTTTCAAGTCCGAGTGCTGTGAGAGCAGCAGATTAAAAAAAAACACATCTGGACTCAGGATGCTGAATATTGAAAATGCTGTGCTGCATTGGTTTTGCATTAAAAATTGGCGCTGCCAGCACACACACATATGGCCCTTATCATGAGAAAAACAATCTTTTCATCTCGAGATAATGAGATACATTTGTGGAGTGATCCAGAGAAAAAACTGAAAAAACTCATGAAAACAGAGTAAATAAAATAGAGTAATATATGACCATTTAGAGCTTCCATAGTAATCCAGGTAAACTACTTTATATTAAAAAAAAAAATCTAAATCAAGTAAATGTGCGGCCCATAAAATAACCTTATTTTTAATTCGTGAATTTTTGTGTTCATTTGAAAATGAAGTTCCAGTTCAGTCAGCAATATTTGCCTTCATGTTTGGGTCTGTCTCTCATTCATCCTTCTCACTCACATTTCCGATGTCATTCTCTCGAGCTGTCATTTTCTGGGGCTGTCATTGGGTAATCAGCTGTCTTGTCAAAGGCACTCATCGAATCAATTGTATGGCGTTCCTCCCTATTTTTTAAATATGATTATTTCTCTGCCTTTAGTTCCTTCATGTTTCGTCCAGCTTCACCCCCTCCAGAGTCTGGACCCCCCCCCCCCCAAGCACCAAGCACCTGTCAAGACACATTTCCATGTTATCTCTTCACTTTCTCTCCTGATGTCACTGCAGGGTTTTGACCTCTCAGGGCCTCCGTAATTCTGTGAGGACAAACAGCAGGTTGGTGTCTGTTTGCTTTGAGAACATCACTGACTGGAAGTTGCATTTTTCCACTTCGAATCGAAATACTCAGCACTGGAGTAACATCATGGTGATGTTAGTGCAGCCTTTTGACTCATTCCCAGCATGCTCAGCTCTGTCAGCTGACCATCCCAGTGCAGAGAGCGTCGTTCTGCATGCAACACCTCTTCAGGAGTACTACATGTATGAGGTAATTGTTGTTTGGTCATGTGAGCTGCTGCAGCAGCTGTCAAATGTGATGAGAGCAGGAGAATCCTCTGCCCCGCCCCCTGAAGCTGATTGGAGAGCTTATGGATATCTAGGGACCATCAGCCAATAGAAGGACACAGAGTTCAATTTATGTGCTCACCAGCGTCAATATAGTTCACTGATTATGTGAAAGTCAGTCACAGTAAGTGTTATTGACTTTCACTTCAGTGCTGTTATTATGTTATTTTAATACTTTCTGTCTCTACTTGTTCAGTTCTCAGTTTCCCAGCAGCTGTGACTCACCTGATTCTTTTATTTTCAGTTCAGAGAAATCTGTCACATGATACGAGCATCATCAGTACGTTGCCTTCCTCTTTCAGACAGCTGTGTGACTCCAGTTACCGAGATGAGATAACATGTAAGAGTCTCGTAAAATGCTTGTCATAAAGACAAAAGATTAAAGATACATTTCTGAGAGTAATAATGACAGAAATGTACATAAACTGTATAAAATATGGACGTAGTCTCAGTGACATCACCCACTGGTTACAGAAGGGGAATTTTTAAGCCTAATGATGGCCGTCCCCGTAAGGGAAATGCTGACTTAATCTAATGTTCAGACACAGACAAAAAGTGTACCAGAAACTTAAAAAAAAAAAAAAGAATATGACATATGATCACTGTAAAATTATGTTCTTAAGAGGCGGCAAAAGTTTACAGAGAGAATTAGCAAAGTCTAGAGAGCAGAGAACAGGAGAAACAGATATATGTGTGTGTGTGTGTGTGTGTGTGTGTGTGTGTGTGTGTGTGTGTGTGTGTGTGTGTGTGACATGCCTCTGAAGATGTTTGAGTGCTCTAATTTAAGCAGACAGACACACCTGGCTCACTCAGAGGCCATAAACACACACCTCCTCCTGTGGCGACTCAATCTGTAGCTTCCTGTCCCATCTCAAATATCCCATCCATCCTACGCGCACACACACACACACAAACACACACACACACACACACACACACACACACACACACATATCCTTTGGTCTTGTCGACCAAAGAGTCGTGTGACCAGCAGACAGACTTCCCTAAAATTAGAAGCTGAATGTTTATGAGAGACTTCAGTTTCAGGTCAGAGTCTAAACAAACATCCACGTCTAGACAAAGTCAAAACCAAATAACTTCATTATTGGACGGAGACCCTGAAGTCCCTCAATATGACTTTTTTCACAGTGATTGGCAGGAGGTGGTGATGACATTTATATGCTGCAAACAGCATACGAGCATAGCCTGTATGCACGCGTCAGGTGAGATCTCTGTAAAATGTTTTCAGTGGATAATGTGGATGTGTTGAACTGCATGTAGCGCTGATATTGAAAACAGCTAGCCTATAGAGTGTCATTGTGGAGCCTTTCAGCTAGACTCTTGGTACAGAATACCGCTGTTTAGACCACAGACGGTAAAAATAATCTACCTAGTGCCTGTGATGTCAACCAGTGGTTTCATCACTGCCTTATTTGGGCCTCAGATTTGGGTGTTGTCTACCACTGTGATGTGCATGGGGCTGGGGAACAGCAGGGGTTTAGCAACAGCTAAGTATCAAAGCTATATATTGTCTATGTCCAGTGCTAACTCATTAACTTCCTAATTAGAAAGTTAACAGATTATTTCCCATAGATGAGATTTTGTTTGTGGTGATAGCAGACTGGCGTTGACTGGAGTAGACTTAAGAAGCTATGGGAGTTGTTCAATGTTGAGCAGTGAGCAGAATACACTATTTATTCAAAGGACTATCATCTCAATACTACTCTCCTTCTCTTTCTCTGAGGAGAAATCCAACAACAGTCCTGACTCCCACGCAGGCAGCCACAAATAAATAAATATATGACAAACAGTCAACGAGCTAACTAGCCAGGTATGGTTCTCACAGACTAAAACAGCTGCAAATTGTTGCTAACATGTTAATAAAATAAAGTTTTAATGTGACTGGTTGTAAAAAGTGGCGCTCACTTGTTGGACGGTCTGTGGGCCACAAATTATGCCAAAAATATTGACGGAATTTCTTAGATGCACAAACATCATCTGGCCAACTAGGACAGACTTCGGGAGAGTTTTTTCACACATTTCTCCCCCAAATCAGTAAACACAGTTAGCTGCTAATTGTTGTTACATGTAAATAAAATAAAGTTCTAATGTGACTGGTTGTAGAAAGTGGAGCTCAGACTTGTTGGACGGTCTGTTAGTCTGATAAAGCTCAAGAGAGAGACAGATTATTAGTCTGATATTTATATGAACAAATCTCCAAAAGACTCCAACAGCACAAACACGACCCAGAGGTTAAAGGTCAGGGACTGAATTAACTGAGGTGACACCTAGCAGACAGCGAGCAGCTCCCACCTGTCACTCAAAGAGGCCACGCCCCCTAATTCTACATCCCTTTAAGCCTTAATATAATGTAAACAGGTGAAACATTCAGCCCTTATAGATGAAGAGAGAAATGAGATCTAGAGACCCAAACTGTTTTTGTACCAGACTGTAAACATGTTTATTTTAACATGGAGCTCTATGGGGACTGACTCACTGCAGGAGACAGACTCTAGTGGACACTGGAGGAACTGCAGTTTTTCATTTTGGTGTTGGTTGGCCTAATTTTAATTCCTTGAAGTAAGCTTGTTTACGTGGAATAATAAAACAGTAAAGGCCGATAGTGTGTTTGTGATTTAAGTTGTTCTATTTATGACGTCATACATCAAGATATTTCTATTTACTGTAGGGTTACCTTCATGGCTTTTAATATTTGTCATTATATGGACTATTTTGATATAGGCCTAGATATGAACTACTATGATGATTGTAGACCTGCCTGAAATATGTTTAATGTTATGAAAGTGTGTTGCACTTGGTCGATCTATAAAAAGATACTTTATTGATTAACTCACCCTCGTGTTCATGATGTAATTCCTCAGCTCCAAACATCCCCAGCAGGCGGAGTGCACTTTATCCCGAGCCCCTTACTTTTAAACCCTAAGCCCCGCCCCTCCAGCGAGCGCACCCACCTTGTCCAGCAGCAGCTCGGTGCGCCAGACTGCACGAGCTCAAGCGGGGAGCTCACCGGAGAGAGGGCACGGAGGAGCAACGGCACGGAGGAGCGGCAGCAGCGGGGGACGTTTTCTGGGTTTTGAGGGGACACCTTGTTCGGACCTCTCAGCGAGGGATCATTTTGACACCCGTGGAAAAAGATCAATCTTAACGGGGAGATTTGACAGAGTACGGTCTCCAGCTGTGGTCAGGAGGGTAGAAGGATGCAGCTGTGGTCCGGGTCGGTGTGCCGCGCCGTGCGCCTCCACCGCTGGTGATGCCCTCCGCGCGGGATCACCGCCCAGCAGCAGCAGCAACAGCGGCAGGAGGAGCACTAGGAAGAGGAGGAGCAGAGGGAGGGAGTCAGGACAACAGGGCGTCGGGGGGCCGGTGATGATGACGGTAAGGTCGGGATCATGGCTAACGGAACCGGTACTATCATGTTAAAATGCGTCGTGGTGGGAGACGGAGCGGTGGGAAAAACGTGTCTGCTGATGAGCTACGCCAACGACGCGTTTCCGGAGGAGTACGTCCCAACGGTGTTCGACCACTATGCAGGTATGAGCAACAATGTTCTGCATTGTGTCTAATAATGAATAATAATAATGTTTGAATGTTGTATATTTGTGTTTGTGACCATACAAATGTCTCAGATTAAAAGTGAACTCCCTGCTCCCCCTCCTCCCTCCCTCTCTTTTTGCATTGGCTGCATCTGTTGCTATAATCAAAACCACTTGTTTGCCTTCTTCATAGCAGAGAGGGGTTGGGGACCCTGACTCCCCTCTCCCTCCCTCCTCCTCTTCCTTCTCTTATGATCTTTGTCATCTCGTTGCAGTGAGCGTCAGTGTCGGGGGGAAGCAGTACTTGATGGGACTGTATGACACAGCCGGTCAGGTACAGTTTATTTTTTCCTCAGGCCTGTTGCCAAGCATGTCAAGGACACACACTCTCTCTCTCTCTCTCACACACACACACAAACTCTAAGTGTATGTCTTCCTCGCTCGCCCATGTGCTCCTCGGGCTGATAACTGTCCTCCAGCCGCCTACAGGCTTCATATTCAGGCCAGACTCTAAGCTGCAACAGGTGACGGCTCTCTCACACTCATTTTACTGCAGAGTGTGTGTGTGTGTGTGTGTGTGTGTGTGTGTGTTGATGGGGGTTTGGGGGTGGGGTCAATAGTTGTATTATGTGGAGAACAGGCCTTCTATGTGCAGCAGTGATGTCACAGGTTGGTTAATAGGGCTCCTAATGCTGAGCTTTTTCTTCACAATGTGCCATTCAGCACATAAAACTGTACCCAACGCACACACACGCACACGCACACGCACACGCACGCACCCACACACACACACACACGCACACAAAGTTTGCACTCGGCAGAAGAGCCTCTGTACAAACACATCCAACTCGGACTGAGCTGCAGAAAGGCTCATTGAGGTCGTCATCAGCATAAAGAAAGATAGACTAAAATTAATTCAAAATACTTTATAATTAATTGGGGTTGATGAAGATTAATTCACAATCAAAATTATTTGACATTCTGGCTGTTAATCTAAATTAAATTTTAACACATTAAAAGAGCACTTTGATCAGGTCTCACAAAGCCAAAAGCAATATAAGCTATCACTTGGAGTTTTCAACCACTGGGAGCGCTATTGAGCTGTGTTTATTTTTCCATAGACTGTAAAAGAAGTAAACATAACACATTGGATTGTAGGCTACGGTTTTAATGCCTCATGCTGGTATTTAGACTTTGAAGTTGGCACAATTGGACAAAATGTTTGATGTAAATTAGCCGAGCAGCTCCCACCTGTCATTCAAAGAGGCCACGCCTCCAAATTGTGCTTAAATTTAAGCCTTAATATAAATATATATTTTTTTATACTACGCTTTAACAAGTTTATTTCTGCTGTAAAGTTTGACACGAGGCTCTATGGGGACTGACTCACTTTTGAGTAGGCCTCAAGTGGAAAATTGTGGTACTGCACTTTATGCTGCCTCACTTCTGATTCTTCAACTCTTGAGGTTTAATTTAGCTTTTTTTATAATGTTTTTGCACGATACTCAGAAAACCTTTAACATTTAATGTTTTCTTTTTAATACAGAATTCAAAACATAAACAATAAAATGTTCAGATATGCCTTTAGAGTTTATTTAGGCCTGTATGGATACACTAGAAACCACAATTATTCAGATAACGATACACACACTTCATGCTCAGCTGATAACTGGACTCATAAGATCTTCCCTCTTGCTCATGCATGCAGAGTGCAGCTTTGTAAAATGCAGAATTTAACTTCACAAAAGAAGCTTGCAAAGACAACAGTCTGCAGGACCTGTGATTAGTTATTCATGCTGAGTTGTGTACCTCAACTTTAGGATGATTATTTTCCACCTAGTGACTTTTGTTTGTTCTGTATGGAAACACTTTGTATGACAGGTGCTTCATGGCTCCAAAACATTTCAAAACAAGCATGGAGTTTAAAACAAAGTGAAACAGGGTCAGTAGGGTTTCCAAAAGACTCGACTAAATATCATCAGCCTTGCTAGTAAGCACCCGAATTACCAAAAGGTAAAACCAAGAGGTTGGGCCTGTCTGAAGATCCAGTTTATGTTCTCCCCACTCTACTGCCCTGATGTAAACAAGCACAGTGAACAGATAGCATCTTGTAAGAGCATCACGGTTTGGAGATAAAAGTGTCTGTAGGCTGTGTCAAGTTAAACTGGCATAATCACATTTAACACAGGCATGTGGATGTTGAGCTGCGGGGAGGACTGAAGGCTGGAGGTGTTAGCATTGCTAATGTTAGCCACACTCAGCTAACTAAGTCACATATAGAGCTGGTTTCATCTCTGTTTCAATGATTAAAGTTTTCAGCAGTATGAATACACAGACAGATAAACACTTTTGTTTGTTTACACTGCATTAGGCCTCTTTGAGATCAGACGCTGTTTAGCTGCACTGTACAGACGTGACAGCTTGGTTCCTTCTCTGCATAAACACCTCTAACCTCCCGTCTCCGCAGGAACCTGAAATGTGCCAGTCTGTCAGCCTCCAGATAGTTAACACTCTCCTCAGGGACAGATTTAACCGTGCAAAGTCACAATCTGAAATCTGATCCCTCCATCGGAAACACAAAAACCCAGCAGTGAAAAGTTGATGTGGGCATATTCAGCTGTTACTCGGCTCTGTTCATTCATGAATGCTGAATGTTGAAAAGTCCATAAATAAGGAATCACAGGCAGGCGCCCAAGAAGCTACCTGTGGCTGAGATGAAACGTCTTCTGCAGAAAACAGATAGTGGAAGTGTTACTACTCGCTATGAGAAGAGGAACACAAGTTTATTGTCTATTCTGGCGTGTATAAACGCTGTGTGTGTGTGTGTGTGTGTGTGTGTGTGTGTGTGTGTGTGTTTAGCTGATTCAGAGCGTCTCTGAAATGGAGAAGTTCTCCCAGATGTCTGCCGTGGCTGCAGAGTAGAGTTACAGCTCTCCTAAAAAGCAGCCACCCCTCACCCTCCTCCACTCTCGGCCCCCTCCTCTGCTGACCTCTTTCTGTAAAGCACGAGGCCAGCTGGTAATGTTTAGAGCTGCAGGGTCTGATCAAAGACCCGGACCCTGAAGAAAGAGAGAGAGAGAACGAGAGAGTGAGTGATATAGAAAAGAGGAAGAGACGGGGACAGATTTAGAGGGGGAGGATAAATTCAGTTCTCTTGGTTTCATTTTCTCTTCCTCACTCTTTTATTCTAAAACTCAAACCTCTGACTTGTGCAGCACATTTTCGATAAGCCCCCCCCCCCTGTAATATTTATATTTCTGTCAAGGCTGCCGATCCCACAATGCTTTGCTGCTCCACAATGGTACCTACCCATGTTGTCTTTGTGCTCTCATGGGATGTGATTCCTGGCTGTCACGTCGTTGTGACATGGAGCAATAATGTCTTTATGCTGTTGCATTGTTGAGATATGTCCAGATGTTTCCCAGGTGTTGAGACATTCATATCGAGTTATTTCATCTGTTGAAGCTGTTTCACTGTTGCACGCATTCAAACACATCCTGCAGGGTTTGTGGAAATAGATAGATTGAAGTGAGGATGTATTTGTATCAGACTCTTCAGAAAAGTTGCAGAGTCCTGTTTGATGGCTTAAAGCACGCTGTCCAAACAAGTGGCACAAAGTGATTTTAGGGCGTGTCCGACAACACTTCTCTGTTTACATGGTGATAAATCGGGCCCCCAAGTGAGACGCCGGGCGCAGCGAGGTTGGATTAAGTGGCTTGATTATACATGAGGGCGTTTGGGGAGTAACATGAATCAATCCACTCAGAGTGTCAGCTCTCATTCCCTTTAAGAGCCAGGTGCGCCTGCAGGCTGGAGCATTGATATTCACACGGTAGATTTCAGTCACTTATTCTGAAATAAATCAAACTCCAGACGGATCACCACCTCTGAACACACACAGGAAACTGTATGTAATGGGTTGATGGCAGACTGAAGACATGTTTCACTGAAATATTCCCACACATATTTCCACATGTCAGGTAAAAAACAGTCAAGACTCCTACTGTGCGGCAGGCGTACACTAACCTGTAGGTTCGTTCAATCACTGCAACTTTTGGCAAACTTGACCAAAAAACAATTTCTCCCCGTATGTGTCATCAACCTCAACTGCTAGTTTTCCGTCCATTATCTTACCGTCTATCCTGTTCAGGGTTGCCGAGGGCTGCAGCTGATCTCAGCGGCCATTGGGTGAGAGGCGGGGTCACTCCTGGACAAGTCACCAGTCAATCACAGGGCTGACAACGACATAACCAGTCACACTCTGACACAACATCCCCCCCCCCAACCCCCTCCCACTCTCCCTGCTGCCTCTGCGTGTTGAATTATTCCATATGAAGGTCTGAGAAGTCTGTTTTTCTCTGATTGTTCAGAGGAAACAGAGGGGGGGGGAGGGGGGTGTCCTATCTTATTCATTCGTTCTCATACTGCTGCACTCTAAAGAGGAGCAGGAGGAAACAGGGAGTGGGTGAGTGCTGCGGTAACCATGGAAACGCTTTAGTGTAAGGGAACTCAAGTTGTGACCTCGTGGGACCTGTGTGCCCCCCCCCAGCCACCCCCACCCACACCCCGTCGTTCCCCCTTTGCTTGACTCCTCAGATGATGTCACACTCAGATACTGTAATCACTTTAAACACCTGACCTCAGCCCTCCTCCCTCCTCCCTCCTCCCTCGCTGCTCTCACAGTCTGATGACTCTTTTTCGACTCAGCAGCCCAAAGAGGCCCACCGACCACGAGACGTCCCAGATGGGGAGGGATGAAGGGGGCTGGGGAGGTGCCGAAGGGGGGACACAGGAGATGGTTTAACTCAGCTGGGAATCTTTCACCGCTCAGCTGCTCCGACTCAGAGAAACAGGAAGGAACAGAAAACGCTTCAGCTCACACTTCACACTTTACAAACTTTGTTTTTAATGAAAAATGTCATCTGAAAAATCAAAAAATATTAAAAATGTTCACAGTAAAAAAATGCAGGATATAATTTAATCACAAGAGAAATCATCTATTGTTATCAGGCTTTTACTTGTGAGGTCAGCTCATGGTAAATGGCTGTATATAAAACAGAGCTCTTTTACATGAGGATGATAAGAGGCTTTCCTTCATAATGTCCCACTCACAGTTTATGTGCCTCTGCCATTAACTGCCATTACAGGCTTCATTAAACTGTCTGATTTTTCAACGGAGTCTGGCAGGATGTTCCCAGTCTGCAGCAGGCTTTCATTAATGTTCGTTAATCACCATTAAAAAGGAGTCAAAAAGCCTCTTTAATATTCCCGAGCTTTAATTCAGAAAATGCAGACTCACAGATCAGAGGCTGACCTTTGCAAGGATGTCTGGGC